TGTGAAAATGCTAAGACAAGGAAATAGATCACAAACAAAAGAAATGGAGGAAAAGAAGAGATTGGATATAGAGTTCAAAACCACGCTTATAAGGTTTTTCAAGAATTTCCGAGAAAAGGTAGATAAGACCTATGAGGAGATGAAAAGGGATCAACAAGAACTAATAAGGGATCAACAAGAAATAAAGAATACATTGTCTGAAATAAAAAATATTATACACAGTCCTAAAAACAGAATGGAAGATCGCAAGAATCAAGTCAAAGATTTGGAACATAAAGAGCCAGAAGACACTCCTCCACAGAAGCAAGAAGACAAGAGAATCCAGAAAGTTGAAGATAATGTAAGGAACCTCTGGGACAATTTCAAGCAAACCAACATCAGAATTATGGGGGTCCCAGAAGATGAGAGAGAGCAAGATATCGAAAACATACTGAAAGAAATAGTGACAGAAAACTTCCCCCACCTGGTGAAAGAATTAGACTTACAAGTCCAGGAAGCGCACAGAACTCCAAACAAAAGGAATACAAAGAGGACCACACCAAGACACATCATAATTAAAATTCCAAGAGCAAAAGACAGAGAATATTAAAAGCAGCAAGAGCAAAGAAGGTAGTTACCTATAAAGGAGCACCTAGACGATTGTCAGCTGATTTCTCAACAGAAACCATGCAGGCCAGACGGGAATGGCAAGAAATATTCAAGGTGATGAATAGCAAGAACCTACAGCCAAAAATAATCTATCCAGCAAAGCTATCACTCAGAATCGAAGGCCAGATAAAGAGCTTCACTAATAAAAAAAAAAGCTAAAGGAGTTCATCAACACCAAACCAGAATTATATGAATTGCTGAAGGGGGTTCTTTCGGAAGAGAAAGTAAATAAAGGTAAAAACTATGAACAACAAATACGTAATTATCAACAAGTGAATCTAAACACCAAGGAAATTAAAAAAAAAATCTGATGAATAATATTAACTGGTGAATATAATAGAATCAGAGGTATGGAAGGGGAGTGAACTGACGATTCTCAGGGAAAAGGGGAGAGGGGGGGTGTGGGAAGAGACTGAACATAAACTGTGCACCTATGGATAAGGACTATAAGGGGTGGGGAAAGGGCAGTGGGTGGGGTGGGAACCTGGTGGAGGGGAGCAATGGGGGGTGGGGGGGAGAATGAGGAACATTTGTAATAATATGAACAATAAAGATTTATTAAAAAAATAAAAAAAAAAATAAAACTAAAAAAAATAATAAAAAAATAAAAATAAAAGGTTAAGATTAAGTTACAATAAATTTTAGCCGAAATCAGTTTGGCTCAGTGGATAGAGCTTTGGCCTGCGGACTGAAAGATCCCAGGTTCCATTCCGGTCAAGGGCATGCACCTTGGTTGCGGGTATAGGGGTGTGCAAGAGGCAGTTGATTGATGATTCTCTCTCATCGATGTTTCTAGCTCTCTATCCCTCTCTCTTCCTCTGTAAAAAATCAATAAAATATATATTTTAAAAAAAGTTACAGTAAATTTTAGTGCTTATTTTTCTATTTTAGAAATAATGTTTAAGATACAAATTTGGGAAGTATAGGAAAAATCTACTCTATCTTCCCATCTTAGTAAAAACACAATGTTTTGAGACAGTTACTTTAATCTTTATTTTTTAAATTATTTACATCAGTATAACAATGCAGCATATATACTTTTTTGTTAAATATTTACAATGTGTCATTAGCATTGTACATTTTTTATGCTGCCATGTAAAAATATATATTTTTATTCATTTCAGAGAGGAACAGAGAGGGAGAGATAAAAATATCAATGATGAGAGAGAATCATTGATCAGCTGCCCCCTGCACACACCACACTGGGGATCAAGCCTGCAACCCAGGCATATGCCCTCACCAGGAACCAACCTGTGACCTCCTGGTTCATAGGTCCATACTTAACCACTGAGCTACTCTGGCCAGGCTTGATGCTTTTTTTTAATGACTGCATAATATTACTAGTGGATAGTCCATTATTTAACCATTCCCCTTGGTTTTCAGAATTTAGAAATTTCCTCTTTTGCATTGATCACACCTATAGTTATTTATTAAGAAATTATTTAAATAGAATAATATTTCAAAGGCAATGTACATTTTATTTATTTATATATATTTTTTGTGGGGGCAATATACATTTTAAAGGGCTTTGGAAAAAACACTGCTAACTTGCCTGGGGTGGGGTGGGATAAGAGATTCTATCATAAAAAATGTATTAAAGTGATTTTTTGGCCCTAGCCAGTTTGGCTCAATGGATAGAGCGTCCGCCTGCAGACTAAAGAGTCCTGGGTTTGATTCTGATCAAGGGCATGGGCCTTGATTACAGCTCTTCCCTATCTTGGGCCCTGGTAGGGGCTCCTGCAGGAGGCAACCAATCCATGTGTTTCTTTCAGATCGATGTTTCTCTCTGTCTTTTCCTCTCCCACTCTCTCTAAAAACAAATGGAAAAGTATCCTCGAGCAAGGATTAATAACAAAATAAGTGACTGTTTGCTCTGTTATCCCCAATTTAATTCAGGTTTTGTTCGTTAGCAGTGGCAAATTTTTCTAGCTGATGGAGGTTTACAAATCCTGTCATTTACTGTATTATCCCCATTGTTTTTTGCAACATACTAAATATGCCTTATATTTCTTCATCTAGGCAGTAGATACCATTTTCTCCCCATAAAAGAAGGCTAAGGAGTGTCCAAATGAAGATTGTAAAGTCCATGTTGAAATATACCAATTTATCAATACTCTATGGATATTTTTCAAGGAACTCCAAAGCTAGTTTTATCAATGTGTCGATAATGACTAATCAGAGTATTGAAGTCACCTAGCTCTAGCATCTCAGTCTACTTTCTCTCACCTTGTTCACAGGATTTAATAGAAAACTTTGTCAAACATGGTTTTTAGGGATGAGTTACTTATCTTTGGAGTTTCCCTCATGATTCCCAGTAATTCTTGATGACAGTCTATATCTCACACATTTTGTATATTAGAGTCTAGAACAGAACTTGATTGGTACATAGTATATAGTATATTCTCAATAAAGGTTGGAATGACATGCTTAATTTGGCATGAACTTAATGAACCTGTGTTATCGCTCTATAAGACACCATTTTCTAAGCCATCAGAAGGCATATACTTCACTTAGAAATGGCAAAATGTGTAAAGAATGGGAAAAGCACATATTTTGTAATTAGAAGCTCTGAGTTGAAGTTCTGGCTTTGCAATTTACAGCTGGTAATTTTGTATAACTCTAGGTCTTAGTTTGTTCATCGACAAATGGGGGTAACCCACCTTCTCTACTTTCCTCCTAGGGTTCTTAGATTGGTCAAATTTATTTTCTAAAGGGACATTGATCATGTCATTACTTGACTTCAAAAAACCCTTTAATAATTTCCTATTGTCCTCAAGAAAAAAATCTAATCCTTTAACATGCTTTATAAGGACTTCTGTAATATGGTCCCTGCTCAATTCTACATGATCACTATTCTAACAGTCTAATCTCTCTTTCTCCTCAGAGCCTTTGTACAAGCTGTTTGTTTTGCTTGTAATGCGATATTACTAATAGAAATAGATGCAACATACTTAATTATTACTAAACATGGGATACTTTACATACATTCCTTTATACTCTATGAAGTAGGTACTATTCTTATCTTCTTTACAGATATGGCATAGAAAAGTGAAGCAACTTACCCAATGTAACAGCTATTGTTCTAAAAATAAAATTAAAAAAGTCTTATTGATTTCAGAAAGAGGAAGAGAGAGAAACATCAATGATGAGATATAATCATTGATTGGCTGCCTCCTGCATGCATCCCACTGGGGATCGAACCCCCAACCCCAGCATGTACCTTTGATTGGAATCGAACCCGGGACCCTTTAGTCCACAAGCCTACAGGCACTCCTTCCACTGAGCCAAACCGGCCAGGACATAACACAGCTATTTAGAGCTGGTTATAAACTCAGCTCTCTCAGAATTAAAAGTAGATGTTCTCAACTCCTACTATTAAGGTATCAACTTTCTCCATGAAGTATAAGATCTATAGAATCCTCTATCAGCCAATGTGATAAGGTTAGCACTTAAGACAATGGTTTATAATTGCCTGAGTACTTACTGCCTCTCCAACTAGAGGATAAACAAAACATTTAACTCAGACAAGACTGCATCTTGTTTACATTCATTTCTCTAGATTCTAGCACAGTTCCTTGTACATGTAATAGGCATTAATAAATATGGTGAATAAATATGGGAAAATGTTTTAAAACAAAGACGTAATACAATGTAATTATTTTCAAATTTAGCTAAAGAGCATCTCCAGGCTTACCAGTTTGTGGTCTATGGAATCCACTTTTCCCCTTTTTTGCCTTGTGGTACACTTGTTTATATCTGTTCTTTTGTGTCTCTTCTGTTGCCATAGTTCTTTAAATACTACCAACAAACATCCCCAGTCCCCCTTAATAACCGCCATACTGCTTTTTGAGAAAACCTTTTACAGAGAAGAAAAATTAAAATGCTAAAATTACTTTTCCCTTCATAGAAATTCTTCAAAATTCCTGAAAGCTTTTTAATAATAGCAGACCAAAACATCAGAGAGCTCTGAGGGGAAAAAATATCTTTTATAAAATGAATTTCAAATCAAGGCTAGGCTGAAAAACAAAACCTAATATATTTATAAATGAAACCTTCCGTAGCTGCCTAGACAGTGTTGTCACCAGGAAGCACCTTTTTTTTTTTTTTTTTTTTTTTTCATATTTGGCTGAAGGCTTTCAGTAACATAAATTCAGAGAAAACAGGTGCAGCACCGAGCAGGGGGTTTGCCTAAATCAACCTTGTTTTGGTTGTCTTTTTTTTTTTTTTTTTTAACAGAACGCCAGAATTTACTCAGCCCTGTAACTGTCATCATCTTCAAGGGGAAGGGAAAAAAAGTAGGGTGGTAAAAAAAGAGGGAGAGGAAGTATGGCAAACAGGAAAATATTCTTCAAATGGAGCAAGGGCTTGCTTGGGCTCCCTCTCCAGGTGCGGGTCCTCCAAGCGCGGTTTTGCAGTTACTCTTGTCCCTTCCATCAGAAAATAACATCTGGCTTTACAAGCAAGAGGATACACAAAATAGTTGGTCTCGTGAGAACTTCACCAGCCGGATGAGCGTGTGGGAAAGCCACTGCGGACCGCCCGCCCCTCTGACGCAGGCTCGCGGGCGCCCGGGGGCCGGACGCCTGGCCGGGCTTCCCCTAGCGTTCCCGCTACCCACAAGGCCCCGCGCCTCGCCGCGCATGCGCGGCGCCAACGGCCGTCTCAGGAAGAGGAAAATGGAATAAACAACTCGGAGGAACCAGAGCGCGAGAGGGAGAGTGGAGGCAGAATTTAAAAATAAACCGGCGCCTCCGCCCTCCCCACCTGTTCGCGGCTGCGGCTCCCCCTCCCCTCGCCCGCGCCCTCGAAATCCCTGCTTGGGCCCTCGCGCCCACCCCGTCGTCCCGCACGGCCCCTTTAAGAAAAGAGAACGAGAGAGTGAGTTGAGAGAATCCCAACTCCCCCTCCCCTCCGCGCCCTCCTACCCCGTCCTCCCTCCCCTCTCCCCTCCCCCTCTCCCCGGGCGGCCTGGGCTCCCGCAGCGGGACAGACCCACCCGCCCGGCTCTTCTCCGGCTCCGGCGGCGGCCTCCTTCCCTCCCAGGTCTATGGTGGCGGCGGCGGCGGCGGCTCCTCGGGCAGCAGCGGAAGGCGAGGCTGCGGCGTTGCCATGAACAGTGGCGGCGGCCTCCCGCCCCCCTCGGCCGCCGCCTCCTCTTCCTCCTCCTCCGCACTGGCGGCGGCGGTGGCGGTGGTGGCCCCGCCGGGGGTCGGGGGCGTCCCCGGCGGGGCGGCGGCGGGAGTGAAGCTCAAGTACTGCCGCTACTACGCCAAGGACAAGACTTGCTTCTACGGGGAGGAGTGTCAGTTCCTGCACGAGGACCCCGCCGGGGCGGCCGCGGGCCTCGGCCTCCATAGCAACAGCGTCCCCCTGGCGCTGGCGGGCGCGCCCGTGGCCAGCTTTCCGCCCGGAGCGGTGCCGGGCGGGGGGGCCGGGCCGCCCCCGGGGCCCAAGAAGCCGGACCTGGGGACCCCGGGGGCAGGAGCCGCAGCTGGCGGCGGCGGCGGCGGCGGACTCGACGGACCGCGGCTGGCAAGTGAGTGTGGTCGGGCCGGGCGGGCGGCGGCGGACGGAAGGCCTAGGGCCCGCGGCCCGGGTGAGGCCGGATGCGGCCCTGCAGGCGAGCCTGGCCCGCGGGCTCTCCCCTGCCTCCGAGGCGGTCTGAGCGGCCTAGGCTAGGCCTGCTTCTTCCTTCCTTCTTCCTGCTTCTCCTCACGGCCTAGGGCGAGCCGAGGAGTGAGGGGAGGCTGGGTTCCCGGGAACGTGGGTGGGTGGACCGGGATGGTGTGAGTGGGGGCGGGGAAGAGGGGAGAGGCTTTGGAGCGCGGAGTGTGAGAAAGGGGGTGTCGTTTCCGGGGTGTGGGAGAGGGGCCGGGCTTGCGGGCACCTGTGTGTTGCGCGTGTGGAGCGGTGTCTGCAGAGTGTTGAGGTTCCCCAGTGGGTGTGGAGGTAGTGGGGCGGGGTTGAGGCTTCCTGGAGTAGGTTGAAAGAACGGAAAAGTTTGTGTAAGGCTTATGGGAGAAAAGGCTTTCGAAGGATTGGGAGTTAATAAACCGCAGCTCTTAGTGTGTTTAGGTTTAGTTGAGAATGTAGAGGAGGAATTTCACAAGACTTGCATTTCAACATAGTTTTTTGGAATAAGTTTGCTGGGGGGTCAGTAGGGGGATTATGCCTTCTACAACTTTGTATCCAGTGAACTCAACGTGGAGCCTTGAAAGCATATCTTGTGTAGGGACTTGGGTTCAGAAATTTTAGGGTTGTTATATCTTTTAAAATCATTTGTTATTCTCTATTGACTTAAAACTTTTTAGTTGTTTGTGGGTAGAATTTAGAATTGTAATAAGTGTTTAAGTGTAACCTATTTTACAGAATGTTGTCCTAAAGAAAGAACAGGTGTCAGACTGTCTTTTTCTGTTTTGAATATATCGAGCATTTCTAAACCAAGTGGGAAAGTCCTGCTTTTTTGGTATTTCTAGACAGTTTTTGAATCTTCAAATAATTTGATAGGTAACTTAGATGTCAGAACATTTTTGTAAGATTGCAAATGAACTTGATGTTGTAGCACTTACTTGCTCTTTAAGGATTATGTCTTCCCAGAGATTTGTGTGTGTTTTCTTTCTTTTGTTGCTTTCAGAGAGGAAGAGGGGGTGGGAGATAAACATCAATGATGAGAATGTCTCCTGCACGCCCCTATTTGGGGATTAAGTCCACAACCAGGACATGTGACCTCCTGGTTCTTAGGCCCAGGCTCAAACACTGCCTGGCCAGTTATATTTCTTTTGCTGGGATGGGCTTGACTTTAACAGAGACTTATTTCGTAAGGTTGATATGCTAAGAAATTAATTTGTAACTTAAAATATTTTGTAAGAAATAGTTTCTCTTTATTGGTGGAACTTGATCACTTTTGAGAAGAAACTTCACAATTTCAAGATAAATCTTTGCTGGATGTGTAAATTGTGGCTCAAATTTATTTAAGAGTAATGTTAAGTAAGCAATGAACAGTAGTTTTGTCATCTACAAAAAGAGAGACTTTAAAAATGCTAGTGTTTGATTTAATCTGTGGTCTTTCTAGGGTTTTCATAGAAGTAGTGGATTTGGGACATAAATGCTAGGTGAAGATGGGAGTTGGAGAAAAATACTAGCAATGGTTCAAAGGTGAGGGGTCACTTCATATCTCAAAAAGGGGATATAATTGCCTGGAATATAGGGTCTTTTTATTAAAAAATGTATTTTATTGAGTTTTTACAGAGAGGAAGAGTGAGGGATAGAGAGTTAGAAACATCGATAAGAGAGAACATCAATCAGCTGCCTCTTGCACACCCCTACTGGGAATGTGCCTGCAACCAAGGTACATGCCCTTGACCGGAATCGAACCCGGGACCTTTCAGTCCACAGACTGATACCCTATCCACTGAGCCAAATTGGTTTTGGCAAGATATAGGTCGTGAGAGGACAGGCAGTTAATGCTAAGAAAGCATTTAAAAAAATTAATATTTAGTCATGTAACAGTTATTTATTTAAATAGCTGAATTATGTTTTTGGATTCAGTAGGCTTGCTTTAACTTGACTAGGTAAAACCTGAGGCTCCTCTTTTTTGCTGTAGGCTTTTCCTTATAATCCTCAGTTGTATCTAGGTTGTCACTTCTTATGGGTAAGAAAATTGCTTCATATCAGTTAGTATTATAGTAAGTCAAGTTGCTCAGGAAATCAGGCAAGAGGATTGTATTGTTGATTTAATGGCTAACTGCTTTAAATGTTTGCAATTGATTATTTTATTTTACTTTCTATCTTTAATATGTTATACTGTACCTTAATGTATTATACGGTGTAAGGCAATAAGAAGAGAGGGACCAAGGTGGCAGCTTAGGCCGAAACTGGTTTGGCTCAGTGGATAGAGCATCGGTCTGCAGACTGAAGGGTCCCAGGTTCGATTCCAGTCAGGGGCATGTGCCTTGGTTGTGGGCACATCCTCGGTGGGTGTTGTGCAGGAGGCAGTTGGTCGATGTTTCTCTCTCATCGATGTTTCTAACTCTCTATCCCTCTCCTTTCCTCTGTAAAAAATCTATAAAATATAGTTTAAAAAAAAGAATGTTTCTAAAAAAAAAAAAAATGGCAGCTTAGGAAGATGCTGAGCTCACCTCCCATGAACATGCTGAATTTATACCTATATATAGGATAGTCTTTGAGAGACAACTGAGAGCCAATTGAACAGCTTCTATAGCTACTGCACACCAAAGGAGAGAGAGAAGGGGTGGGGGGTGGGGACAGAGGGAGAGAAATTGAGATTGAGAGATCGGGATTGTGACTGAATAGAGGATTGGGAAACTGCTAGAGCTCTCTGGGATCTGAGATAACTTTTTAGGATCAGAGAGGCCAGTGAGTGCATTGTTTGCATTCTCCCTCCACTTGGATAGTGTAGCAGGAGTTCTGTTCAGGTGCACTGTCCAATCTGCAAGGCAGCTGTAGTGCCTTCCTGGCCACTCCTGGAGCTAGCTTCACCAGCTACAACAGGATGTGGTAGAGTGTGTATATAGGGTCATCCCACCTGGAGATTGACCCAGTGGGTCAAACGGGACACTGCAGTGTGCACCAGGCTGCCTCACTCAGGTCAGCAGGGTGCTGAAGTGTTGGGACACCAGTCTGCATTGCCTAAACCGCATTTTAGCTTGGGGAGCCAGAATAAGAGGGAGCTATCACATGTGCATGCACACCAGATTGCCCTGCCCTCAACCCGTTTTATCTGGCCAGGCAGCACCTCAGGCATCACACTCTTATTCCAACTGGCCTGTTAAAACCATCTGGTACAGTTTACACAAAGGCTACTTTGTTATAGGACCACTTTTTCAAGATTGGGAGAGAAAGTTATTTTATCTAATTCATAGGAACAGATACAGATAGTCAAAATGAGGAGACAGAGGAATATACTCCAAATGAAGGAACAAGAAAAACACTCTAATAGCTTGGCTGGTAAGACTCAGTGGTTGATCATGGATTTATGAACCAGGTGGTCACCGTACAATTGCTTGTCAGGTTGGGGGTGTAGTCCCCATTACAGGGTGTGCAGGAAGGCAGTCAATCAATGCTTTTCTCTCATTGTTGATGTTTCTATTTCTCTCTTTCCCTTTCTCTCTGAAATCAATAAAAATATCTTTTTAAAATATATATATATTTAAAATATTTTATTGATTTTTTTACAGAGAGGAAGAGAGAAGGATAGAGAGTTAGAAACATCGATGAGAGAGAATCATCGATCAGCTGCCTCTTGCACACCCCCTATTGGAGATGTGCCCGCAACCAAGGTACATGCCCTTGACCAGAATCGAACCCGGGACCTTTCAGTCCGCAGGCCAACGCTCTATCCACTGAGCGAAACTGGTTTCGGCAATAAAAATATCTTTTAAAAATCCTAATGAAATAAAGATAAGTAATTTGCCTGATGTAGCCCAGGTGGTTCAGCATCATCCCATGCACCGAAAGGTTGCTAGTTCTATTCCCAGTTGTGGGTTTGATCCCTAGTTGGGCTGTGTGTGGGAGGCAACTGATCAATGTTTCTCTCTCACATTAGTGTTTCTCTCTCCCTCCTTTCTTCTTTCTTCCCTTCCTCTCCCTCCCTTTCTCTAAAATGAATAAAAACATAATTTTTCTCTTAGAGAGAATGGAAGGGAGGGAGGAGAGGGGAGAGAGAGAGGAGGGGAGTTGAGGAGAGAGAGAAGTAGAGAGAGAGAGAGAGAGAGAGAGAGAGAGAGAGAGAGAGAGACCCAATGTGAGAGAGACACAACGATTAGTTGCCTCAGCTAGGGCTTAAGCCTGCAACCTAGGTATGTGCCCTTGACTAGGAATTGAGCCCAAGACCCTTCAGTCCTTGGGCTGATGCTCTAACCATTGAGCAAAACCAACCAGGATGAAAACGTTACAAAAATTTCAAGTAACAGTAAGAAGTATGCTTACCAAAATAACGTGGAGAATAGAGGAACTCAGAACTTCAACAAAGAAGATTTAAAAAATTAATAAAGAACCAATCAACTGAAGAATAACTGTAATGAAAAATACACTAGAAAGAATCAATAGCAGAATGGATAATACAGAAGAACAGATTAACCTCATGGAGGATAGAATCATGGGAATTGCCAAATTAGAACATCAATAAGAAAAAAGAGAATAATTTAAGGAATGTCTGAGACAACATCAAGTGCACTAACATATGTATTATAAGGATCCCAGAAGGAAAAGAGAGAAAGAGAAAATATTTGAGGAAATATGACTGAAACTTTCCTAATCTGGGGAAGGAAGCAGACATCTAGTTCCAGGAAGCACAGTTCCAAAGAGGCCCACACCAAGATATTATAATTAAAATGACAGAAGTTAAGGATAAAAAGATAATCTTTAAGTCACAAGAAGAAAACAGCATTTCATAAGCAAAGGGACTCTGTCCTCTCCCAAACCCCATAAGGCTACTAGCTGATTTCTCAGCAGAAACTTTATGACTAGAAGGGAGTGGTAGGAAATATTTTAAGTGCTGAAAGGATCTACAACATA